ACACCTCCCAGGAGGGTGTCACCTGAGGTGGCCTGAACCTCAATGCATCCATCTTCTATCGTGAGTAGAGAAACATCACAACTACAACTTCCAAGATCAAATATGAGCACATTCTTCACCCCCGAGCTTGCTTTCTTATCCAATCCGTACGCAAATGCAGCTGCGGTGTGTTCATCAATGATGGACAAAACATTGAGACCGGAAATGACTCCAGCATCCTTTGTGGCTTGGCTTCGAGAGGCATTGAAATCAACAGGGACAGTGAGTACTGCATTCTTGATTGTTGTTCCGAGACAGGCCTCTGCAATCCCCCTCATCTGTGTTAGAACCATTGAAGAAATTTCCTCTGCAGAAATTTGCTTCTCCTTACCATTGTAGGTCACTACAATCATTGGCTTGTCACAAGGCCCGACAACGACCTTGAAGGGCCAAAACTTCATGTCACTCTGCACTGAGGGATCACTGAATCTCCTCCCTATCAATCGCTTAGCATCTAAACAAACTCAAATTAAAGATCTTTCAAATTGAAATCAGATTCCATCAATAAAAAGAGCTGGTGGAAATTTTGCAGTGCATACAGCATACTAATGTTCACTGAATCTCATGAAGATATGTACTTCCTCTTTCTCTTTTAGTTGCAACATTCCCATTTTTACATTTGTCGATGCACAACTTTGACCGTCATTACATTTAATTCTCTATTAGTAAAAACATTTATAAATCAGATTATGAAAATATATTTATTATGGGAGGAATTCGACAATATTTTTCAATGAAATTAATTCTTATACGTTAATAAATAAAATGTAGTCAAAGTAGAAGTGTGGAACATGCGAATAGTGCAAAATTATCTATGTCGCAACTAAAAGGAAACATGAGGTAGTATTTTTCAGACAAATCTTATAACTCTCTCAAGCTCCAGAGGTCGCACACTAGCTTCGGTGCTTGGCTATAATTTTTTATTTTATTATTATGTTCTGTAATATTAACACATGTATTTTTGCTATGAAACATTAAAATCCTACTTTTGTACTTTTAAGATTTTTTATTCCTAGTTAGAGTATCTTCATCCCTGCTGCACTGTTAACACTTAAAAGTTAAATATGAATTCCGTATATATAAAAACCATGAATCGGTTCTGTCAACACATTTTCCCTTGCATTCTAGCATCATCATAAAATCAATTTAGTATATTTTTCACATATAATATTACTAAAACATTAATTAAATTATTACAAACAATATTTTTCTTTGTTTTTGTCTGAATAATTAAATAAACAAATGCACATTAGATGTTAAAAAAAGTTTCGATGTTTATTTTATTCTTTTCGGTTAATAATTAAATCCTTAATTTTATTATTATACACAATTTTTTGCCATTTTTTTACGAATAACAGTGATTCAAAAAGTCAAACAGTGCGATATAAAAAAAATTGGGTCTTAAAACCTCGACCAATTGGAACTTCAGATTTATTCTAAACTTTATATTTGTAATATGGGAAAACTGTCAAATAGGTCCTCGAACTTTCATAAAAAGGTCAAATAAGTCCTTATATAGGAGGATATGTCCGGCCGTCGCAATTTGGGGTGGTTCCCGGTGGAATTTTTTGATGAAAATTTTTTAACATCTTATTCATCAAGTCTAGTTTACTCATACAAAATTTCAACTAAAACTATAATCGGGAACGCATTCAAATTAATTTAAATCAAATTAATTCTTAAAGATAACTATGCAGTAAATGACAAATACACATAAAGAAATGACAAATGCGTACCAAAGATGGTGTTAATGGGGTTCATGGAAATTTGGTTTCTGGCGGAATCGCCAATGAAAATCTCAGTGTCCGTGAACGCGACGCAAGACGGCGTCTTTCTGTTCCCAATATCGTTGGCTAAGATTTCTACACGGTCTTTTTCGGGTCGCCACACTCCGACGCGGGAGTACGTCATACCTAAGTCGATTCCGATCGCAGGAGCTTCTCCTTTTCCGCCCATAACTTTATTTCCACAAAACCCTATCAGTACATCGAAAAACGAAGCATGAAAGTACTGAAAATGGAAGAAATTGACGAACACGCTTTTGGGAGGGAAAAATTAGGGGAAGCTTAGAAATGACGGGCGCGTACCATGGCGGTTACTTCCCATATCTCTGGGCTCCTTTCGGGTAGCACGTCGTTCTGGTTTAAGAGGATTTCCGCTTCCCAACTGCGATTTAAGAATGGGGCATGGTCGAATGCTCCTACAGTCAGTTTCAGAAAACGGAAAAAAATCTTCTGATTTCGAACGCTTCTCAGCTTCAGTTGTAAAACTAGACCGGGAAGCGCTTCCACCGAACAATGGGTCATAGGTCAACCGGGTTTGAAAAATCCGGTCAACTTTCATACGAGTATAAATTTTAAGTCAATTCTACATTTAAAATTAGAGGGGTCTATTGTATTAGGAACTAGTGTCAAAATTTTAAAATTTTATGGATTTTAAAAGTTTAGGTCTATTCAATGTGGCCTTTTAAAAGTCAATGTGTATTCATAAACTTTTAAAAGTCTATAAAAGTCTAAGGGGGCGTATGGTAAGATGTAAAATAATTACTTTGCATGCAAAGTGTAAGAACGTAAAATGTTTACATTGTTTTGCTTGATTATTTAATGGGGGGAAGGTGGTAAAATACTTTACCACCTCCCCCCTTAAACTTTTAAAAGTCTATAAAAGTCTATTCAATGTGACCTTTTAAAAACATTTTGCACTATACCATGTAAAATATTTTACGTGGGGGGAAGGTGGTAAAATACTTTGCATGCTTTTTATAAAGCGCTGCAGCGCCTATGCGTGCAAATTAAATATCTAACCAAACAATGTAATCTAATTTGCATGCAAACTGATTGCTTCCCTAAACTTTGCATGCAATTATTTTGCGTGTAAAGATTTAACGTGTAAACTAACAAACGAGCCCTAAGTGTATTCAAATGTACATTCATTCTTATTGACTTCTAAATCATGGATTTTCATGAATTTTTAACTCACTTTTAGTTCATTAATTCTCTACAATTGTCTCTTCTCCCATCAAAGATTTCTGTGGACTTTTCGTGTTGTCTTCTGCTCATCACAAGTACGCATAGATTTGGTTGCAGATTTGGTTAATTATTTATCTGGGTTCACAAATCGGCCAACAAGTCTTGGATTACTACCGGCCAGGTTGAGAGGTGGGTACCGGGATGGTCTCAATATGCAAGATTTGAACATTAAAATTTATTTATTTTATCATGTTACAATAAATAAAGTTGAACAAGGAGATTCTACATTAATGATGATACACAAAATAAACTTGAAAAAGTGATATTTTATATGTCGTCTTACGAAGAAAAATGTAGAGGTGAGATCGATTCAGTTCTTGAAATAAAATTAGGAACCATTTGAAGAATCGTTAATCCCATTTTGATTCAGTTCTAGAAGTATTTAGAAGAATCGATATAAGAATCGCTAGTATTACATCGGTGCAATTTTGGTACGTTGTTAGTTAACCATTAAGCAAAAAAAAAAATTATAACTGATACTGTGTTTCATTGCTAAAATGCTAACACATAAAAACATAATTTCAAATTAATAAATATTTAACCGTAAATAAGTATACAAAATTCAACAAGCTAAAATGAAAGAAAAACCATTTTGAAAAGAAAAACGCGATTGCATTTATGTTTGTACCACATGGAGCAATGAGTGTAACACTTGTGTAATGATTAATTTCTTACTCATTGAGTTGTGTAACATAACAATTGATCATAAAGAGATCGATATTGTTGAGCACTCTTAAAACTTTGAGGTTTCTGTATGCTTCATTTATTCTTGTAGAACTTCGTATTGTTAGATGAATTACATTTGTTTCAGTTATTTATTTAATTGTTTCTTATCCTATTATACCGAGGAAATTACTCACGCTAGGACTAAAATACAGCATTTTCCCAAAGCATGATCATATGTTTGACTTTCCTTAAATATGACTAAATATTACATTTCTACCCCTAATTTAATTAATTATTATAATTAATTACCCCTAATTTCCTCGCATAACCAACGTCATTTTATTGATCGTCGATCAGTTCGATGACGACGGCGGCGAACTACGGTGACAGAGGTGGACAGGCAGATCAATAGTGGCGATCTATGTGAAAATTCCGACGACCCAATAGTGATGATCCGGATTTAAAAGTCTATGGGCTTTTTAAAAGTTCATAAACTTATTCATGGCTTTAAAGTCAATAGAATTCATTCATAAAAAAGTATATGAATTTAAAAGTTCATTGACTTTTTTAAAAGTCCAAGAATTAAAAAAAATGGGATTTTTTCGCAACCGGCCTAAAAACTCAAAGTAATTTCATTTTTTTCATTTTTGAAAGTTTTTTCAAATATAGACAAGTTGAAATTTCCTTTTCAATTACACATATGGGTGGACCGGTTCCGGTTCGGGCCTGGGCCTGGCCGGGCCTCGGTTCAGAAATGGGAGGCCCGGAACCGGCCCGGGTAATCCCGGTTCCGGGCCGGGCCGGGCCTCAGTTCAATTTTTTTTTTTTTGGCTTTTCCTAATTAACCCCCAACCCTCCCCCCTCACCCCCAAACCACCCAAACCACCTCAAATAGCCCAAAATACCAAGCCCAACCCAAAAACTTAAAAAAAGTTCAAAAAAAAAATTAATTTGGCCCGAACCGGGCCCAAACCGGCCGGGCCGGTTCGCCAATCAAAGGGCCCGGGCCCGAACCGCACAGTAACCGGGCCGGGCTGACCCGGACCGGTTCCCGGGCCGGGCCGGTTCAAACAGTTAGGGGAGAGCACGGGTCGGGTTCGGGCGGGTCGGGTGTGAGGACCCCAAACCCGTTCGGGTTTTATGAGGTATATTTTGAACCCAACCCGGTGAGTTTCGGTTTCGGGTTTTTCGGATATTACTATTTCGGGTTTTTTCGGATATCGAATCGGATATCGGTTACTTTGGTTATATTTAAAACGCAAAAACTTCGCAAATTTACAAACTGTCCAGTACAGAATTACAATTTTCTTTTACAGAATAAAAGTTGGTAGTGTTCTGGAACCCAACTGGTTGAGTTGCACAAAGCTACAAATGCACAATTACAAACTACATGTCTAATTGTCTATTGCCTACTGGCTACATACTTCATACTTGATACTTAAATTACAAACCAAGCCCAGAAAAAGTTAATAGAGTACTTGGCAAAAACTACAAGGTTAACACCAAAGTTTACAAACCATAGCATAAAGCTGCATAAGTGTTTACAAAGCAAAAACTATAAAGTATGACCACTTTCCAGTTTCCAATTCTCCTCAGTCCTCAGTCCTCAATAATCATCCTGCACATACAAACAAAGAGTCAGAAACTGAATAGCACTACATAAGCACATAGTCATCATCACAATCCATAAATTTATTAAATATAGGTTCAGATTGCCTCTTGTCTATTCAAACCAGATTGGGGGCATCCAAAGTAGATGTGGTGAGTTTCAAGCCATCTCATATTCTCATTATCTAAGATACAATTGAGGCCAAATCCAAATTACCACTACTACATCTAATACCAACCCAATCTTATTTCAGTATATGGTGGAAGCTTTCATCATAACCAAAATGGGAAGAACCACTTATAATGGAAAATATTTATATCACAAAGACAAATTTAAATGAAGAAGCACTTGTTCAGTTGTACTAGAAAACAAAGGGTGTGAAATTGAATAGCAGCAGAAAGCCAGAAAGTGAATAGGGGTTGTGGGCAACCTGGGAACTGGAATACAAGACATCCAACACTTACACTTCCATAAGACCATAAGTCCATAATTACAATTCACAAAGTTATTAAATATAGGTTCAGATTGCTTCTTGTCCATTCAAACCAGATTGAGGGCATCCAATGTAGATAGTGATAGGTTTCAAGCCATCTCATATTCTCATTATGTAAAGATACAATGGAGGCCAAATCCAAATTACCACTACTACATTTAATACCAACCCAATCTTATTTCAGTATATGGTGGAAGCTTTCATCATAACCAAAATTTTCAGAAGCTGAATAGCACCAGATACTGCATAATCTTATAAACTTATAATAATTAAGTAAACCATTAAATTGACTTGTGAAGGATCCACAGAAGATCCAGAGGCATTTTCAGAAGCAGCACATGTCCCATTTATTAAATCTGCAAAACCAAAGAGATTTGTTAAGGCATCCTAAAAATATATAAACATTAAGCACATTAAGCACATGTAAAAATAAAATAACCTGTTTCCAGCCTCTCAAGTTCATCAATATTTTCTTCAATTGACAGAGGTTGGTTTTGCTTTCTCAACCAATCTTGACAACAAATCAAAGCTTCCACTATTTTAGGAGTCAATGAACTTCTAAAGCAATCTAAAACCCCGCCACTAGTACTGAAAGTGGATTCAGAAGCAACTGTGGAGATGGGAACAGCTAGAATATCTCTAGCCATTCTTGAGAGTATAGGGAATCTTTGACTATTTAATTTCCACCATCGTAATATATCAAAGTCTTTATCTTCCTCAAGAATAGCCTCACTCAAATAAATTTCCAACTCAGTTTTTTTCAAGCCCAACTACCCACTCTCTAGTTTCTGTTTTTTAAGTTGTGCTTTGAATTTAGAGACTGGTCTTGCAGACTCTTCCTCATAAATCACTAAACCAGCAGGAGTTGAGCTTGATTCAGAGCTTCCACCAACACAATCTGTGTAATTACTCACATAATCTGAAAATAACTCAGTCAGAGCTACTTTAATACTTTCAAAAAACTTCTCACCCTTTTTTTCAGTATACAGAGCATTCAACTGAAAGGGCAGGTATTCAAACTTGTCCCTAGGGTCTAGAACATTTGCAAAGAATATCAGAAAGTTCATCTTTTCAGGATCTCCCCAATACTTATCTAGTTTGGATTTCATAGTACTTCCCATGCTACTTGTAGAAGGTCTATCTGACTTCATCAAGTCCTGAAGGACCAGAAACAGATCAGACACTTCTGAGAAGAAAGTATTAGATGTAACATAGAGAGAGCCTGAAATCCTGAGTGTCATCTCATAGAAATTTTGAAGAACTGTGACCATAGACTCACAAGAAATCCAATCCATAGTATCTAAAGTATCAAGACCCAAATCAACTGAATAACTGCTTACATTCTCCTCATAGGCTTCAAAAACTTTTTCATTACATAAAGCTGACTTTAGCATTAGGTATGTGGAATTCCACCTAGTTGGAACATCAAGGTGTAGTCCACATTTAGCTTCCACCCCAATTAAGTCAGATATGTCCTTAAACTTTTGAAGCCTAGCAGGAGAATTCCTAACATACTTAACTGCTCCCCTAACCCTAGACAGAGAAGTGTCAGCTTGCTTTAAACCATCTTGAACTGCCAAGTTTAGAATGTGGGCAATACATCTCATGTGAAGATACTGGACCTTCACAGAAGAGGCACCCCAAGATAATAGTTTTTTCTTGAAGAAGCCTACAGCTGTATCATTACTGCTTGCATTATCCACAGTAACTGTAAATATATTTTTCAGCCCCCACTCTAAAAGGCAGTTCTCAAGAGCCTTAGCAATGTACTCCCCTTTGTGAGAAGTAACTTGGACAAAGGAAATGATCTTTTTTTGAAGCTTCCATTGATGGTCTATGTAATGAGCAGTAATACACATGTAGTTGATCCTCTGTACAGAGGTCCATGTGTCAGTAGTAATACTTACCCTTTGTGTTGTCTCCCTAAATAGCCTTTTCAAATTAAGCTTCTCATCTAAGTAGATTTGGTAAATATCCCTTGCAATGGTCCATCTAGAAGGGATTTTAAATCTAGGGCAAGCTATGGACATAAACTTTCTAAAACCCTGTCTGTCAACAAACCTAAAAGGAAGCTCATCAATTATATGCATTTCTGCCAGAGCTCTTCTAATTGCAGTTTGGTCAAACACCCAGGTTCCTAAAACCCCAGTAGGTTCTTCAGTAGGAATAGCAGCAGTGATTGGTTGGTAGGTTAAAAGGACTTGCCTAGTGTCCTTAGAATGAGTGTTCTTCAGACAACTAAGCATGTGGTTTCTTATAGATGAGGTGCCATGTTTTTTTGAATGACAACAATATACTCTTGCACAATATATGCATTTCCCTTTAACAAGAACTCCCTTTTCATCAAAAATCTTTACAAAGTGTTCCCATATCTTGGACCTAGATTCAACCTGTTTCCTCTTTTGGCCAGAACCAACAGGTATATTAGTCTGTTGAGTAGTATCAGCATTCTCTACAATGGGAGCTTCCACTGCAGGTTCTCGGCTTAGAGGAGGTTCACCAGATACATGCATGGAAACACAATCTTGACCATCCATCTATATAAGTAAATAAGTAATTAAGCACACACATAGGTAGTCAGGTAGATTAGGCTTCCACCCTTAAGCTTTCACAATTTTTTCAACACAGATGGATGAGAGTCAAATTTCATTCTTTAAGTTCATAAACATATAGTCTGGAACAATCAGCTTGCTGATTTACAGAAAAGTTAAGCAGTAGGCTTAATTCTTCCCTACAGACTTAGAAGAACCAATAGACTCTTACTACTCCTTTGAGTGTTAGAGTCACAAAGGTAGCTTCTTTTATATGCAAGAAATAATAGAGGCTTCAACTGTTTACCTTCCACACTTTACCTTTCAGAATACACAACAGGGCTAAGCCTGAGGCTCCATGCCTCCATCATCATTCATGTATGCACATATAAACATATCTCATATACCTTTCTCATATGCATATTGCAACATAAGGCATTGAGGCTCCATCAGTATTGACATATGCATAATCAAATATTAGGCATACAAGTATACAACTTTAAGAATTCAGAACAAGCCATCATTCATCATCATTCACATATGCATAATAAACATCAGGCATACAGCTTTAAGAATTCAGAACAACCCTCAGTCCATCATCATTCACATATGCCTAATCGGACATTAGGCATACAGCTTTAAGAATTCAGAACAACCCTCAGGCTCCATCATTCATCATCATTCACATATGCATAATGAATTAATCATACATTAGGCAAACAATTTTAAAAATTCAGAACAAGCCTCAGTTCATCATCATTCACATATGCTGATATGCACAATCAAACATTAGACATACAACTTATAGAATTCAGAACAACCCTCAGGCTCCATCATTCATCATCATTCACATATGCATACTCATACCTTAGGCAAACAGTTTTAAGAACTAAGAACAAGCCTCATTACATCATCATTCACATTATCACATACGTTGATATAGTGATATGCATAATCAAACATTAGGCATACAGGTTTCAGAATTTAAGACAACCCTCAGTTCATCATCATTCACATATGCATAATAATAAATGATATTGGCATACGATTATACAACTTTAAGAATTCAGATGAAAACTCAGGCTCCATCATCATTCAAACATTAGGCATACAGGTTTAAGAATTCTCAATGCTCAGACTCTCACAGAGTCAGAGTTCACATTTCAAATATGCATAGTTTAGTACTCAGAAAATCATTTTTTTAACACTTAGTCAGTGAGGAGCAACTGAGCATACATTCATATATTATTCAGCATTAACACATCAACATCAACATCATCATAGATTCATTACCACTCGTCAAATGTATAAGGGTATTAAGCATGAATTACATTATCAACATCATCATACATTCATACTATCAATTTATCAACACATAAATACATAACAAATTCACAACAAAACCGTAGATATAAATACCTCAGAGACTAGAATTAGGACTTAGGGAGTTAGGTTAAGAACTTCCACCAAATAGGTTTCGAACGAGCGAAGAACGATTTGCACCGATTAGGCGATTAGGGTTCAGTCTTTCTGTGTGCGGACACGGGACACACTCAGAGCTTCCACCAAAATACCAAAGTAAATCAAAGTACGAGAGGCTGAGAGAGGACAAAGGAGAGTAACTGAGTAAGGTCTAGAGAACTGAAGGCAGAACTCACAGAGCCACGGTCACAGAGGATGAGAAGAGAGAGGATAGAGCGAAGAGTAGAAGACTGATCGAAGAAAGAGGCGGATAGGGTTTGGCCGAAGTCAGAAGTATAAGTGTGTATATATATAAAATACAAAACGACGTCGTTTTGGGGTTTCGGGTTTTCGGGCGGATCGGGTCTGGGTTTTATAAACCCTACCCGCAGCCCTTTAACCGCCCAAAGGCTGGCCCAAATTTCGGGTTCGGTTTGGCGGGTCGGATATCCGTACCCAATCGGATAATATCCGGAAAAAAATTCGGTTTTGTCGGGTCGGGTCGGTTCTTGCTCAGCCCTACAAACAGTAACCGGGCCGGGCCGGTTCCGGGCCGGGCCGGTTCCGGGCCGGGCCGCCCGGCCCGAGTCCATCCCTAATTACACACCCTATGCATAAACACTCCGCTCCCACTTAGGCATATAACTCCCAGGTCACGCATGTTAATTCAAATACTCAAAACACTGGACCCCACTACCTTATTAATATTGAGCTCACAAACTCGGTAACTCCCAGGTCACATACTTCCATTTGTTGCTCGTATTGATAACTAACAATTAAAAGCAATATAAATAATTATAATAAATATAATAATAATAACAATAATAATAATTATTATTGTTATTATTATTAGAAAAATTGTTCTCAATGAAAAGATGTTATAAATTTTCACAAAAATGAAATGTTATACACCGTACAAAATTGAAAGATTATAAAGTCTGTAAATTAGGAAGACAATGAAAATTAGCAAAAAGGTTAAACAGAATATAAAAATACAATATATAATATAATCTAAAATCTTAAATGCTATCTTCAATGACCGCAACAAAAAGTTGAAAATTGTATTAAATAATATACATATATATTAAAATAAAAGTTTTAAATAGTAAAAATAATTGGAGTAACAAAAAGTTGAATAAGGGTCAATAATTGAAGAAAAAATGATATAGAGGAAAAAAGAATAAAAGAAAAATACTAAAATGAGTACAAAAATTTAAATTTGAAAAAGTCCATAGAAAATAAAATATCAAAAATCAAAATGTGAAAAAATAAAATGTATGAAATGTCGAAAATTTGTAAGAAATGTATAAAATTGTAAAAAAAAATAAAAGATAGGAATTTTGTATTTTGAAGTCTTAAAATAGTAACAAAAAGTAATTATTATCACCACACCACTTTATTTTTGTTTCTTGTTGCATGAGATTGCTTTTTATTTTCTGTCTATTAAATTGTAATTATTTATTATTTATTTTTGTTTCTTGTTGTTCATTTTCCTAAATCCAAATTTATTATTATGGGTGTGTTGGTTTTTACTCCTAAATAGTAAACATAAATAGAAAGCCAAATTAACAAACATATCAACAAAACAACACGATTCAACAAAAAACAACACGATACAACAAAAAGAAACAAAATAAAAAGCAACACAATGCAACATGATAGCAACAAAATACAACAGGGTGCAACAAAATGCAACAGGATGAAACAAAATGCAACAACATGCAACAAAACAAAAAGGAAACAATTTCATCACACAAAAGTATTCAATGAATCCACACTTAAACTTATTTCTCTATATTCATGATCAGAAACAACAATAAAAACGTAGTAGGAGTGTCACTCCAGCAGCTAGCTAGGACTGAAGAAGAACCCAACAACAAGAACCTACTAATGTTGCTTCCCCGGCGACGATGTTTTGATTGAATAACCTATGGCCCGATTGATGTCTTGACAAAAAAAAACTCTCTTCAAATCATTGTTTGATTTAATGTCGATTCAAGTGGAATTATAACAAGAACAGTTTTACCTAAAAAAGAGAGAAAATAATTACGGGACAAATCGAAAAGGAAAAAACGAATATTAATGTAGAATAGAGTGATACATGAAGTAGTAAATTTAAGATAATTGGAATCATCGATTCAGTAGTATTATAAATTATAAATGGTTCCATATTGTCATTGAGAATATGATAGTCTTGCTAAGCTTATTAGGCCATGTATTTCTCTATAGAAGCGATTTATTAGTCTGTGTTCTTGAGAGTGATAGCTTTGCATTCACGCGAGGTAGTTGGAGCATAAGTATGATTGAGTGTGAGTAAAGTCAAAAGAAGAAAAACTAGGTGATCAAGCTAAGTGAAGCATGGTGCCTAGGCTAGTTAGTCCTATACTCCGTATATGTTAGTATTTTTGTGAGACTAAATGCGGTGATCAAATGTATACTTTGTTTTATTCAATTCTATGCTAGGCATCAAAGCATCAAGCTACCAAGCACTTTTAACTGTTTTATCAAATTAAAGCTCACGAAATCCAGAGTTTACCACATAACTATACGTGACATTTAGCTTTACTCTCTCAAAATGCATAAATTTCACCATATTCACAAGTATGATTCATGGTGGTGGACTGTTATGCATGGAACATGAATACAACCAAGCATATATAGAAAGTATATATAGAAAGTGATCTTGTTATGCCGATAAAAAGTAGGTAAACTTTTTAGGGAAAAAGAAACTGAGGTACATACATAGACAATAGATTATTAGATAGTTTACTACTTTACTCTATTAAATCGACTGGTTTTCTTCTCCCTAAATTGATACCCCTTAGTCATGATGCACTCATATAGTGAGATTTTTCCCATCTAACCTATTGAAGTAAAAAAAAAAAAAATTGGTACGTACTTCTTTGGGGACTTTTCTCAAACATTTCACTTGCAAACTTCCAACATTAAGTTACTTTATATTTTTTTACATTAACTTCTTAAGTTATCAATAAATTCACGCCCACTCATATGTACAAAACATTTAAACGTTTCTGTACTCATATATTGGGAGTTTAGAACACAAATCATGAACCAATTTAACATGGCTAAAACTAGGAGAAAATATTAATGATAACTTAAAACGATGATGAGATGAAACACTACTTACAGTGAATTCTGGTTGCTGTTAGAGAGATACGAAAGAGGTTGCTCGCTCATCAAATCGATAAGTATGATGAACACCGCCCGTTCTTTACAAAAATTTTACCACTCACCGAGCTTGATCGACTCTGCTTTGGATATTTGGTGGATTCAATTCCGCAGATTAGGCAATGGCATTAACAGGTGGTGGTCACCGCGTGTGCCAGTTTATTTATCACTCTGTTGGCTCTCCTGGAATTTTTCATCCACACGTCCATGAGAAAGTCGATTGGAAATTTGCTCTGCGTATCTTTTTCTGAAAGAGGTCGGCAAACTGCCTTAAGTGAAATAAGAAAATAAAATTGAAAACTTAGAAGTTAAAAATGAAAAGGAAAAGTAATTGGGCTATAAATGATATAGATCATACAAGAGCAGACCTTCCCGGTAATTACCACACAAAAAAATCACCATGATCCATATTCAATACACCCCTCTTAATCCATACCTTTGACTTTGTTCACTTTTAGCATTTGATTAATGTTCTCAAATCATTTGTAGTTCTTTTCTGATAATTTTAATCGCCGTAAATATTGACGGAAGGATTATGTACCAAAATTGGTCAAAGTCAAAGACGTGGACCATTTGTAGAATTGGTGACATACCAATAGGATAAAAAATGAATTTTTTTCTAAATTTTAAAAACATACAAGACTAGCCTGATGTTACCTGTTTGGACCAGACTCTAAGTCAAAAATCACCCACTCAGGAGCAATGTAACTCACTAATCCCAGTTTGGGAAAGTGTAAGCCAACCATAATCGATCTAGTATTCTTGTTGATAATCATATTCTGAGCTTGACCAACCATAAAAATAAAGACTAAATAAAAGTCATTCCGGACAAAAAGAAACCGTCAAGTACAAAAACTAAAGTCCTTAATAGAAAAAGACAACAATAGCATAGAGCTAAAATATAAAACTTTGAAGAAGACCTTGGCGAGCCTAGCTAGAATCTTAGGGCCTTCAAATAGATCTTCCTGTTCTTGGTTCTTTGACACACAAGCTTCAACCGTATAAACAACGGACTTAACAGACAAGATCAAACCAAAATCTTTCTCACAAGTATTTTAGTCTTTTTGAAGTAGAAGCTGTGATTGGTAAGGTTGCCTATGAGCTAAAACTGCCAGTATATTAGCAAAATATGGACAACACCACTACAATCAACTAGTTCTAGGTGCAGTTGCTGTGCAATGCTTGGTGCAGTTGGATGGTTTGATTGGTTTCCCTGCTAGTGAAGCTTCATGGGAGAATACCTCAACCTTTGCAGCACAATATACGCCAGACTTTGTTATTCAGACTTGAGAACAAGTTAATATTTTAAGGGGAGCATTATAATACATCTGGATCTTAGTCAACTGGATAATAGTGAATAATGTGTTAGCTAGCAATTCGTATAATTAGTTAGTTACGTTGGTTAGCTAATATGTTAGACTTAGTCTGGTAAGCTCAATGATTCGAACTGGTATGCGATTTTCTCATTCACTCAACTTCTCTCTTTCTCCATCGTTTGAGTATCTTCTTGTGGTTCCTCCATCATTCTGAATTCTGAGTCCCATTGTGTTCCTTCATCCCAAATTGAGTTATAAAATTGATTTTGGGAGGATTCAATTTTAATTTGAATTAATTATCAATTGGGAGGTAGTATTTGATTTGATCAAATGTAATTCATAACTATTAGATACCATATCTCACGTTATGTTGACGGCAATTGGCAAGTGGTGGAAATAGTACTTGAGTTTTGCATTCAATTTAGTACACTATGTAGTTTTGTTCGTTTTAATTTAGCAAATGGATTTTAGGAAAGACCAATCTTTTATATTTCTTACTAAAAAGGGACAAATTAGCAATTCAAATTACTTCTTCAGTCTCACATTTCGTCTCAAGAAGTTTGGTGAACAATTGTCTTCGTTTGGAACTTCTTCGTTGATTAAATAATTTTTCTATGGAATGAAAGTATTAAAGTAAACAAAAGAAGCAAAACAAATACGATAGTATAGAGTGCAAACAAAAATTATTACTCACGTGCATAATAAGACGAACAAAAATAGAGGCCAGATTTAAACAGTTGGGTTAAAAGAAAAAGTGAAGAAGGTCATCCAAGATTCATCCAGAATTAACAGCATAAACACCAGAAAGTAACCAAACTACTGCAGCTGTCTGTTTAGTCGACTTCTTCGATCTTAGGTCCAGCACCACTAGCAGGAGCATCGTCATCACCCATAGGTGCACCGCCACCCATGCCTCCACCGTCCTGGTATATCTTCGCAATTATCGGATTGCACAACGCTTCCAACTCCTTCATCTTGTCTTCAAACTCCTCCACCTCTGCAAGTTGGTTGGAGTCAAGCCAATGAATAGCTCCCTCAATTGCATCCTCAAGCTTCTTCTTATCAGCCGGTGGAAGCTTGGGGCCGATTTTCTCATCCTTCAAGGTGTTCCTCATGTTGTATGCATAGTTCTCCAAGGCATTCTTAGCGTCCACCTTCTTCTTGTGGTCCTCATCTTCAGACTTGTACTTCTCAGCTTCCTGCACCATTCTCTCAATCTCCTCCTTGGAAAGCCTTCCCTTATCGTTGGTGATGGTGATCTTGTTCTTCTGACCTGTCGTCTTGTCTTCAGCTGAGACATTTAGAATGCCATTGGCATCAATGTCAAAACAGACAGTGATCTGCGGGACACCCCTCGGGGCAGGCGGAATGCCAGAAAGCTCGAATTTGCCTAACAGGTTGTTGTCCTTTGTCCTGGCCCTCTCTCCTTCGTAGACTTGGATCAGAACACCGGGCTGGTTATCTGAGTATGTGGAGAAGATTTGCTCTTTTTTGGTGGGGATGGTTGTGTTCCTTGGTATCAAAACGGTCATTACACCGCCGGCTGTCTCCAGACCAAGGGAGAGGGGAGTGACATCCAACAGCAACAGGTCTTGAACCTTCTGGTTCCCTTCTCCACTCAAAATAGCAGCCTGGACTGCAGCTCCATATGCAACGGCTTCATCCGGGTTAATGCTCTTGCAGAGCTCCTTGCCATTGAAGAAATCCTGTAGCAATTGTTGAACCTTGGGGATCCTAGTGGACCCACCTACAAGGACAACATCATGGACGCTGCTCTTGTCCATTTTCGCATCTCTCAAACACTTTTCGACTGGTTCCATACACTTTCTGAACAGATCCATGTTAAGCTCCTCAAACCTAGCCCTCGTAATGGTCGTGTAGAAATCAATGCCCTCAAACAATGAATCAATTTCAATGGTGGTCTGAGCAGTGGAGGACAGAGTCCTCTTTGCCCTCTCGCAAGCAGTCCTCAGCCTCCTCAACGCCCTGGGGTTCCCACTGATGTCCTTCTTGTGTTTCCTTTTGAATTCCTGAACAAAGTGGTTCACCATTCTGTTATCAAAATCTTCACCTCCCAAATGGGTGTCACCTGCAGTCGACTTCACCTCAAAGATACCCTCCTCAATTGTTAGGAGTGAAACATCAAAAGTACCACCACCCAGGTCAAAGATCAGCACGTTTTTCTCACTCGAGCTGGTTGATTTCTTGTCCAGACCATATGCAATTGCAGCTGCGGTGGGTTCATTGATGATTCGCATAACATTGAGGCCAGAGATAACTCCAGCGTCCTTAGTTGCCTGGCGTTGAGAGTCATTGAAGTAAGCAGGTACAGTGACCACTGCATTCTTGATTGTACTTCCAAGATAAGCCTCTGCAATCTCCTTCATCTTCGTTAAAACCATAGAAGAAATCTCCTCTGCGGAGAATTGCTTCTCCTCACCCTTGTATGTCACTACAATCATTGGCTTGTCACCGGAACCAGGAATCACCTTGAACGGCCATAACTTCATGTCACTCTGTACTGAAGGATCATTGAATCTCCTCCCAATCAAGCGCTTAGCATCTAAATCAATTCAATTAAAGGCATTCCACATTACAATCAGAATTCATCCGTACGTACTGAATACTGATAGTCAAATACTTGAGAAATCATTATGTAGTATTTACTAGAAAGCATCAGTATAACAAGAAATTAGTCTACTAGTGACGAGTACCACATCCAATCGACAACTACACTGTTTAATCAAATACATAAAGTCATTAACAATTGAATGTATACAGATCACAGAACTTGTTTATAACCCGGCCTAAAAGCCATACAACTATACATAGATGCTACAGACAAAAGTCATGCCATGCTGAAAGGAAGTCATAGATCAGAAACCAAATATGAAGATGTGAAACGTACCGAAGACGGTGTTAATAGGGTTCATGGCGACTTGATTCTTCGCGGCATCGCCGATGAGACGCTCAGTATCCGTGAATGCCACGTAAGACGGAGTCGTTCGGTTTCCCTGATCATTTGCTATGATCTCCACGCGATCGTGTTGCCACACTCCGACGCAGGAGTACGTTGTTCCCAGATCGATTCCGATTGCTGGTCCTTCACCTTTGCCGGCCATAATTGTCTTTCCCTCAAAAACTAGCAATCACGAAAACCAAAAGTAGAAGAATGAAGCAACTCTGAACAAAGCTTGGTGAACAATCTTTTAGTGAAAACTTCGCAGATTGAAGAGTGCAAGAGGAAGAGATATTATTATATAGAAAATCCGCTCTCCAGAATGTTCATGGACATTCCACTATTCCAGTATCTTCCTTTCAGCGTGTTTAGGAGCATCTAGTTTGTTCGAGAACTTTCTAGCTTTCAAATCCAACGGAATGGATGCATCATGTATGGCTGTGCGCAAAAACCCGCATTCTTTAATTCTTGCAACATTGTAACTTTTTCACTATTCATAAATCTTACTTTAACCACGATTTTCTACTAATATACATAATCAAATTACTACGTATAAAATGATAATGAATTCCTATCAATGTGAATTACCAAAATATCGAATTTTTATAATTTTTACTAATATATAATTAAATATAATAACAGTCAAAGTTGTGTGTTGGCAAACGTGAAAGTCAAACTGTTGCAAGAATTAAAGAACGGAGGACAGTATTATTTTTTAAAATGTGTTACACAAAAATATTACTACCTCCGTCCTATTAAGTTTGGGACAATTCGATTTACGATGTTTGACCGACGATAAAGCAAACAAATCTCTGTCTGCACTCAAATTATTTTTTTTAAAAAATACATATTCAGAAATTATATTAAAAGCTTTACAAAGTCGCAAAAACCAGAATCAAATTTGATATATAAAGTAAGAGATTAAGAGTGATTTGTCTTGGCGTATAGTGTGTGAGAAAATCTTAGCGGGAC